GGCGACTTAAATCTCCGTTGGCCCTGTGATTTTAGCAGCCTCGTCCGAGCGGTCCCAGCCGACGTCGCCCTGTCGGTGGTTCCCTCAGCTTCAGGGGAATGAGGCCCATAACTGTTACTGTTTTCGGCGAGAAGAAATTTAACCACGCGTAGCTCGCCAGGCTCTGACGTGGCACCCTCCGCATTGGTACGTTTTTGGAACAGTCCAAAACCGTTCACCCCCACGCCACGATGAGGCTGCAGATAGGATTTGTGGGGGATTATCATATATAATATACAATATATATTAAGATTGAAAAGAAAACGCGCACGTTGACTAAAAAGCTATAATAGATCCTAAGAAAGAAGAAATGATCATTTTTGAAAGTGTAAAAGTGCGGTCAGACAATAGCATAGAATAGCTCTCCAAACACTGTGTAAAAAGTAATGAGATGAAAAAAATCGGTAGAGTGGTTAGGAGTGTTTCTGTAACATGAAGAAATAAGAAAAGTTCAAAACAAATGGGAAATAAGCTAAAAAACTGTTCCAGGGGATATCTTCCCCAACACTTGTTGTTGGGGGAGCTCTCCCCCTAATTTGGTAGGCGACCTCTCCCCGAAGCCTTCGGGGGAAGTGTAGCATCGAGGGGGAGCATAGCATACGGCCCCAGCTGTGCAAGAAATATTTTTGTAGCAGAGTGTGTCAGATGGTATCCTGCAGAGAAATCATGCTCCCTTTGAAAATACATTCGATATAGAAAGTTTGCCTTCATAAGAACTACTGTTGATGGAGAAAATGATGATGTATTGCAATAATATAATTGCATATATGTGTACATTATATGTAAATACGATATATGTATACTATAATATTTCAGTTCCAAATAGAGCTGGTACTGCATGAAGTGGTGACATCTTGGTGCCATATAATACGTTCGCCAACACGCAAAATCCGGACCGGTGTTTGAGAAGGGCGGAGCTGGGTTAGTCATACAGCATGACTGAAACCAAATTTCCCTTTCCAATGTTTAATGTTTTGCGTTGATCGATCTGTTCCCTTCAATTCAGTGCTGTTCTCTTAGTAAATGTCAAAATCGTGCTATATCTGTCCACCTGAGGCATTTCGAAGGAATGGGAATGTGGAACACGATCGATACGCGCGACCCTAGGGAGATATCGAACGTGTACGCGCACTGTATGATTGGAGCAGCACGTGTTCTTTTTAGTTCCGTCTCAGGGCACATGTCAACCGGAAAGCTTCTCCCCTCCTTCCTTTTTTCTCCCTCCTTCCTTCTTTTTCTTCCTTCCTTCTCTGATCCCTCCTCCTTTACCTTCCCCTTCAACTGCTGGACTGGTAGATGCCCCGTGAAATTAGCCCTGGACCCTCGCAGCGAGAGATCGTCTGGTTGACATCTGCCCCGTAACCTTTTAGTTCCATATGACTTATCGAGCTGTCATAAGGACTGAAACGCTTCTTCTTCTATTCAGTCCAACACTATATTGGGCAGAATTACCAATAATAAATTAGCGTTGTTTGCATTGATGTCATATTGTCTTGGTGATAGTCGTTTTCACACCTGAGCGCTAGACCGCTCCAAAGGTGTTTTTCTTGTTTCCATTTTCCATGTGAACATGTCTTTTCCACTCATTTGATACCTATTATGCCGGAAGTAGGTCGTTTTCCTTATATTGATAAAAGGACTGGTCGTATTGCTTTGCCCGTGCGTTGTAACGGTCAACCAGCATTAACCCCTTTGTCCCTTTCCTCTCAACGCCTGCGAAACTTTTGCCTTTTTTCGGATTTACCGGTAATTACCAATCAGTTCAGAGTTCCTGTACATGGATCCGCTTTCAAAAGCGGAGCACGTCAATGGCCGACCGTCAAGTTGGGTTGGATTCGATGAAATATCGATGACATCACCTGTGGTCGACCAATCCACTTCGAATGGAGGCCAGTCTATCCGACCGGAAAGTGCAGAACTATTTGATGGACGGAATAGCGTCAGCAAAGAAGAGAGTATTGAACTTGAAGACAGCGAAAGACGAGTTGTGACCCCTTTGCCCACAAAAGAAGTTATCGCTGGTGAGTATATGCATAGTGGCCTAGAAAATTTAAAGTAATTTTTCTTACCTTCGCTATATTAATGGACCCCTTCTGATTTCATTCCGACAGATATTTTGCTTAAAGAAACCATTTCCATTGCAGTGGATGTAATTTTGGACGGAATATTACTTGACTGCGAATTTCCAGTATTTCGTTCTTCAGCGGGTACTTCCGGATGAATTGGGGGGAGGGTTTCCTAGTCGAGGGGCCACGTGTGGGCGGGGCGAATACTCCAACCCCCCCCCTGCGCTTCTAAGATAGCGGCGCGCAAACCCTGGCCGTCTGAGCTTTCACATGCTAGACCGTGGAATGGAAATGGTGGCTACGTCGCGCCGCTGCGTGACTCCCTCAACTATAGAAGGGTCGAAGTTGGTACTACTACCCACTCTGAGGCTCTCAGCGGGACCAATGGGTACGCGTACCAGCTGTCTCTTATCGGGGTATCAGATGGCGCCGGCGCTGAATGAATAAATGATGCACTTTATGTCATATGATAAGAACAGTAGGAAAAAAACTTTCATACGTGCGCTATAGAGAATTTGGGTAAAAAAAAGTGCTGCGACAACGAAAACGACACACGAAATGTTGTCTTTGTTTTGATCGGGCTGGGAGGGGGAGGGGGGGGGTCCGAATTACCCTGTTGGGTGGAGGTTATGCAAAAGAATTTTCGACATTCTGACGTAACTGCAGTGAGGTAATACAGCAAAATCCACTGCATTGGCATCTAAATCCACCCGCTTGCGTTATACAGGCGTGGGTCCGTTGCGTGCAGGCGCTGCTTATAGCAATTGAGTTAGCTGCAGTGCTCCCACATGCACCTCGCGGTTCGCTTCGTGCTCCAGCACAGCCCTGGGCCCATAAAAGCGCACTGTTCAATATAATGCAACTATGAAGTCGACTACTTTTTTGAAATCTAATATCTTGCGGTGGGCACTGTTATTTCTTGAGTGCTCATGAACATGAATAATTTGGTAGCAAAATGGACGGCTTTCTGCAAGGACAGGAAAGAATCTATTCACTACAGTTTTTTAATCCTAAAATACATTAGATCCTTCCACTCTTGGTCAAGCACCGATCGTCGATGCTTCACAGGAATTCCATGAAAAACGACCGGTGATTGCGACACGCGATGCGAATCCCATCAATGGGTTCCTAACCCCGGGAGGAATCCGCCTTGGTTTGTTACAGTTTCATTTATGCTTACTTCTCTACCTGGTTCCATACTTTCCCGTGTTTCCACCACCATGATTTATTTTAAGTAAATGGTAAAATCGTTGCTACAATCTATCCGGAAAATACTATGTGCTCGTGGGTGATACCACCTCGTTATGACCCTTATACGATGCCTTCAGTCCTAGCTGCAGACGGATTTACGGTATGCTGAACGTTATTGGGGTTTTACATCTTTAGATTTTGTTCCTTTTTAGATGCCTGCTGAGGACTTTGTCACTGCAATGGAGCTTATCACTAACGACTATCGCTTTAGAAGGTGGTTTTTCTAGCTGTTTCATTCATAAGCTATGAGTCCTACTAAACAAGCACCTATATACAACTTAAGTGCATTAATTTGTACTACAAAGCGATATTTTTTTTTGCTCGATGCCCACGCAGCGCTTCTGCGAATGGTGCCTTCTTGCGAGCACCAATCTTACGCCCTAATCTACATGTCTTAATCCAAATGTTCTTTCCGTCAATTTCCTGCGTACAGTATGCTTTTCCTCGTTTTTCATTTTTTGGAAATATCTCTTTGATTGCAATCACTTTGCAGTTTTACCAGCAGTGTGCTGAATCCTTCCTGATTTTTTTAGTGTGTTTCTCTTTTCAGCTTCTCAACTCTATATTCCCGTTTGGTTGCATTCTGGATGACCCTATCCATTGTTATTTTGCTGGTGGTACTGTTTGCAAATTCGGAAGGAGGAATTCTTGTGATGACGTTCTGCTTGTTCTGGTGTGTCATGCTGTTTGCCGGCATTATCGCCTGTGCCATCATTCGCAAGCAGGTTAGTAACCCTCACTATAGTCAATGTTCATTTCGGGCGCCATTTCTAGCGCTGTTCTAATGAATTTTGGTGCACGACAATAGATGGGGGAGGGCTTTTGCGTAAGCCTGGGGGAAGAGGTTTCGACGTGAGTGACCACTAATTTTGCACAGAAAGGCTTTGAAATGACGTGCAAAGTGCCGCAACTTTTCGGTACAGAATTCTACTTGCTTTTTGTTTTGTGAATTCGGTTATCTTACATACTTCTGTTGTCCGACTCTCTTGAAATGACATGAACCAGTTACATAGTCCTGTCCTCGACAGGTTATGCTTATCCATCGAAAAGTCACACCCTATCATGCTATAACTATCTGAAACAAATGATGAAATCAAATTTAAGATATGAAATTATCCAGCTTCACAGTGAATGGTTCGAGGAAATTTATCAGGTACTTTGTTACAGATTCGTATTGGTCTACGTCACTGTGTCCAGTCGGCTAACAAAATTCTAATCAAAAATAATGTTATTGCTGGTGTTGAAGACAAAGGACAACTAAGTTGCCATAAAGTTGTAGTGAGTGATTTGTTTTTTATCATGATCCTTCCTTCATCAAAAAAGATGCATTGTTATTGCTAACATTTTAATGTTTATTATCTTCCCCATAGAGCACGTTCATACTTCGATCACACGATCCTGTCTCGCGATCGCGAGGTGTCAACGCGCTCTTGGTATGTACATCCATATCACGGAAATGGAGCGGGCGTAACTGCGTTTGTACCCACGTCTCTATCCATCACAATGAAGCGTGGCTATTGTCTCGCGTGGAAAGATTCCACGAAAACCCGTCGTGTATTATCTTCGGATTAGGTGCGCAGCAATACCCCTTCCCATCTTTGTGATATGAGGCGTACATGCATGTCTCATATTGTAGTGGTAGTGTACTAAACAGTAACGTAAAGAGTAGCTTGGCGAAAATTTATCAACTTTCGAGCAGCCGCGTTGACGTAAGTCCACAAAGACATTCTTGCGTTGGCGCAGGGAAGCTTTGTTAGGTATGGAAGCAAAACCTGTATTATCGAGTTCCAATCTGGGCGATGTATAGTTTGAGAGGGGCAAGGCAAAGCTACGTCATCTCTGCTGGTCTGCACTCCACTACCGAGAGAGCAAGTCGTTATCTGGCATGGCTTCACTTCACCACTGATTTATTTCGTTGTAGTCACTTATTTCATATTTCCGCAGATAGACAGGCTGACATGGTTTTGTGCGTCAGAAAAGGTCTTTCGTGGCTGTGCCTCTTTGGAGGGTCACCCCGAAGCACATTGCGGTAAACTTGTTAGTCATCTGATGCCGAGATAAGCTCCATCTGAAAAGCTAACTAAACAAGGCCACGGGATTGTTTCCATATCTTCATACACGACGCCAATATCAATCCATTAAAGATCCATATAATGTGGTTCCGGATCGAAGATTGTATGGCAGACATTGAACGTCTCGTTCGAATTCAAGCCAGTGGTGGGGCTGTCATATTTGGAACTGGAGCCCCAACCGCTCCAGCTAAAGAGATGACGAGAAAAGAGGTTTGTCGTTATGCTCTTCTCACATTTCATCTTCAGGAAATACTCGTTCAGCTGCGTTCATCCTTTGCGTCAGCGTTTAGAGCGTTCCGAGCAACTACGAACATATAGTTGTCAACCTAGCGTACGACAGCGTTCTGAGCGCCAGGAAAGTATGGATATCAATCTAGCGTTTTGAGCATTCGTTAGCGTTTCGGATGTATGCCAGTTTTTTGAGCGACTAGAAAACTACAGACATCGATCCAGCGTTTTGAGCGTACGCCGGCGTTTTAAGGGTTTTCGCGGGAAGTTTCGAGTTTGTGGAGGCAGTCGCCCGATCGATATCTATACTTTCCTAGTCGCTCGAAATGCTGGCATACGCTCACAAAGCTGCCGCAAAATACGAACGCAACCTCCCTTCAGAAAAAAAGCACCGCGAATAAGTTTACATTCCTCTGAAAGTGGAAGCAATGTTTTTCAAAACGAAACATATTTCAAAACCTGGGAAGGAAACTGAATTCCTGGAGCTAGTTCAGCACATCCTGATTTACAGCGAGGGCGAGTGTGGAGCGCTACTACCTCGCCGCATAATCGCAGTACGAGTTGATTTAAGAGATCGAGCGTCGACGCGCAGCGCCGCTGCAGCTTGGTTGGTTGGGTCCTGGTGCGGATGAACGTTCGTCACCTCCCTTGCTACGCCCCTTTCGGAGGGACTGGAAATAACGCTTCACTCTAGCGAGAGCCCAAAAAGAGGCGTAACAAGCAGGGTCATTAGCATCAGTACCCAGATCACTCGCTGCGGCAATACTGCAGCGCGTGAAGTCCTCGAGCTAGGAACTACTCTCACAGTCTTATTTGGATGTCATCAACTACATTTCAACCCGTAAGCGCTCCTCTGTAGTATGGATTGTCCTGAGCGGACCCCTTTGATTTGGCTATATTGTTTTTTCCTAGTGAAGGTCGTACAAAAATTAGCAGTATATGCTTTTCATGTCTCTCAAATTGTGCATATTTTCCAGGTTGAGGAGAAAGCACGCCATTTGGTTCTGAAGTACAGCCAAGAGTTTGTGAAAGATACAGCCAGGGTATGTGAACTATACCCAAGTTATTCCTCTATCTGTAGATTTTTTGAAAAGAAAAGGGAAATGTTTCCAGTATCGTCTCGTTTTTCCAAGTCGCCCTGCGCTTGGGGTTAGTGAATACACCCCAAAGCACTGTCCCAAACAAATGTGTCTGTGCCAATTCATCGATAAAGTGAGTTTTATGAAAATAATAATAATACAGTAATAATACATTTGTTCGTATACTCTGTACTCAGTTTGGTGCCGCTTTCACCCTTTTTTTTTCTTGAGCCCCTGGAATAAAAGCGTAGACGGCCTCTTTCAGCATCACTTCAATCGTCCGCCCAGAAAGTGGTACTCATATTTCGTCTGAACCTCGGTTATTGCTCACTTCTGTGCGAACGTTAATTTCTAATCTTATGACAGTCATTTTGCTCATTTTTTTAATGTGAGTTTCGTGGAAACGTAAAATTTATTGTATAGATCTTTATGTTCAACAAAAGTGCCCTTTTGTTTGTCCATCCCACTTAGAAGTTACTGGTTGCCCGTCTACCAAATTGTGCATAATCCCATGTCAAATGTGATTAATTTAGTTAACCTGTTTCAAGGTCCGTATATCTCGAGCTATCGGTTGTGATAATGATGTTGTGCCCTTATGAGTTCGGTTGTTGTCGAAATTTGTATAAATTTCATTTTATTATATTGTTTGTGGGACATTAGTACGGGTTTCACCTCGGAAATACCACCATACAAATACGAGCGACGCTTTCCCTTTATATGTTGTTTTACAATTATCTTCAAGAAGAGTTGGGCATAGAGGGGTGTCGTAACTATCGTAACTAATAGAGATTCGCCGGTTAATGAATAAGAAATGGCATGGAAAATGACCATAGGAAAACTTCAAGAAACTCACATCAAGTTATCAATTTAATTATGCCTTGCAACAATAACATGAACAAAACAAAATAAACCCGTGACCTAGTCCTAAGCGCAGCCGATCCTCACCCTCAAGGCGTACCACAGAGTGGCATCCATAGGCGTATGCCATAATGGGACACGTCCTGGCAGCGGCCCTGAGTTGCCTTTCTTCGAATCCTGGCTCCTACGCAGATCTTCGGCTCTGCGTGCTCAGACGGTGCGACGGCATCAGACGAGTTGACAGAAAGCAAGACTGACGATAGTGAGAATGGGTCCTTCTCGGCAGACGAGCGCATAAGGTAAGTGCGGATTTTAGGCCATCCGTGCGGCATTTCCCGTGCAGCGGCGCGCATTGAGACCCCACGTTGTGACCAGGCGATCTTGTGATCTGAGGTCGCGGGAACCGCGACAAGGGGAAGTTGGAGGAAGCGAAAAACAATTCATGGGGATGACCACCGTTTAGGATCATATTGTGGTTAGTTCAGCGTTCTTCAGTGAAAGTTCGATTAGCGGTTTATGAGAACTCATTGACTCTGAAGTATCCGTTCTCTGAGCTCTGTATGTCACGGCGATGCCTTTGCTGAAATTGATTTCATGCAATTATGAGCATAGCTCGGGTGAGAGCCGACATGTAGCATGGTGAGCCTGATCCGCAATGTCGTGAAGTTATGCGTGAAGCGTTCTTTTGTAGAGCTGGGCTTCCCGAAAAGAGAGCTGCGCTTCCCAAAAAGATCCCGCTTTCTTAAAGGAAGACCTCCGCAAGTGACCAATCGAGAATGCCCACACTCTGCAGGCTTAACACTGCATTCTAGACAATTGGTGAACATGTCGGGCATTAGGATGAAAGTAGAGAATTTTTACATCAGCTACCGGAACTGCAATCAGGGGCCGTATGCTATACTTCCCCTCGAAAGGGAGAGTTCTCCCCAGTAAATCTCCGCTTTCTGCAGTTTTCTGCTTCGCCCCTCTGCATCTATGTCTCCCTCACTCTCGCGGAATCTCCCCCAACGACATTCGCTGGGGGAGAGGGGAGCATATCGATTATACTCTGCGCTGCACTATATTCGCACAGAGCATGCGCCAAAAGAGTATGGATGCAGAGCGGTGAGAGCCAGAGAGACGAGGGGCATCAGTACAGATAACGGCAGAGAATGGAGATTCACAAGGGGATATCTCCCCTCGAGGGGGAGCACAGCATACGGCCCCAGATGTCAGCAAATGAATAGCTGCGAAATAGATCTGCCTTGATTGGATGTGATCGTAATACGACGGCAGGGCACAGCATTCGATGGGGATTTTGGTCGAGCTCGTACGACCCCCCCCCTTTTTTTGGGGGTTCGGTACGACCCCCCCTTTTTTTTGTTTTGGTTTTTTTTTTCACTACAAAAACACAAGCTTCAGACTAGCCTTCATTTGTAAAACAAAAACAACTATATACATGGGAAAAAAAAACTAAAAACCACTATACAAAACCACTATATACAAAAACTACTAAATCAAAAAACAACTTCAGTGAATAGGACATAACGAAAAATAAACAAGAGGATCCCACCCTCCCTACCCTAAATGCAAATCCAGTTGTTGTGCGCGCAGGACCCCAGTGCACTTGATTTGAGGGGCAGAATTTCCGCAGAAATCGTACGGTAGCAGAGTTGGGTATGAATTGCAGCTTTGACTGGAGCAAACGGCTATTAGCCATGGAGCGAGAATTTTCAGCAAAGTGGGGTGGGGGGGGTGGGCAAAGTGGGGTGTCTTTGAAGGACCATAACTTCCTCAAAAGCGGACCTGTGGGGAAGAGGAGAGCGTATTGGTAAATTAGAAGGTTTGATCTTCCTGAAAGTACTAAAATGTTCATGAAGGTCGCGAAAATCACAGAGAAATCTGCCATAGGGATTCGTTGGGGAGTGAAGGGTTGAAGTTCAAGTTGAACAGGTTTGAATCAATATATTTTTTTTTGTAACTCAACATTTCACAAATCTGAGAGAACGGATCCGAGCTTCTCAAGATTTTCTCTTTCTAAAAACCTATTGAACTGTTCCTGAAGCTCTCGGGATTCATGAGATCTCGCGATGGGGATTTCTTAGGGAGCACTCCCAGCCGCGCGAAAAACCCGTTTCCTGTGCACCGTTTCAAGTGAGCGTGTTCGAATAGCCAGGAACGCATGTAGAACGTATCCTGTGGTGGAGCAGGAGCAGAATATGGTTCGTTCAGAGCTGATCACGCCAACTCTGGATGCGCCGCGCACTGAGGTCCGCGCAGAAGTGATGGGATGGTGCAACTTGTGCATAATGTGTGTCCACGCGCGCAAATGTGTCTGTAGGATTCAGGGAGGTCCATGGCGAACCTGTGCACTTGTTTACAGTGTTTTCCCTTGCGGATGATGTAGCGTGTCCGTGTCGACGCCGCCAGATCTGTGCTCCGCCAATTGCTGTCTCCGATAAAGGAGACCAACTGCTGGAAAACGTCTGATACGAACGATATGGTAGTCGTGTCGCTTGTCGAAAAAAATAGGCTGGCTCAGCCCCAAGCGCAATCGCGGACACGCCCCATCATCTGCAGCAGCAATCAGAGTATGCGTCTACTGTTTAGTCATCAACGGACTTACGAGATGATGTCGACTCATTTAAATTCCAGTTATTTCGCATTTTTATGGCTGAAAGTTTTGTCCTTTTTTCAAATATCTGAGTTCTCTACAAAGTAAGCTTCGCTGTACCGCACTCAGCACATTGACACCTTGCGCTGCTCGATACTGGCTACGCACTCATTACGACCCCCCCCTCTCCTGGCGGCCAAATACGACCCCCCTCCATGGGGATTCCCCAACCAATGTTGTTTTGCTGTGCCCTGTACGACGGGCTACTGGGCATGGCGAGCGACGCGGCGCCAGTGGGGCGGGTAAGCGTGTTTGAAGTCGAATGTGAAGGGGCAGCAAAGATAATTCACATAGTTTCCGCTGCTGTAATCTTGAAATTTGGGCACATCGAGAATTCGCCGCACATCGCAGCGTGATTCGCCGCGCACGACACGCTGCAGTTATGATTGTCTGGTCCGACTGGTGCGACATAATGCACCAAAGCAGACATTGAGCGCCTTCTTCATCGCCAATGTTCTATTCTGGTAGTTCTTGGGTTGTTGTTATGATAAAACGCATAAATTCAGAAGTATATGTTGATTCGCTCAGTGATGCCCATTTTGAAGGTTCCGACTGCAGAATTGAATCTGAGAGCTGTTCTGTTGAATGGGCAGTCTTTCCGGTGAGTGCAGTCCACTACCTGACTAATAATTATAATTGGACGTCTCATAACGTTCAGGTGGCGCAATATTGGCGATTCTTTCTACGGTGTTGTGGATGGCATCCTGCTGCATTTGCAACGAATCGATGATGAGAATATCGAGTGGTCTGATCTTGGGCGTGCAGCTAACGTCGAGGAAGTCGATATCTCTGGCAAACTCCACAAATACTTTCAGGTGTGATCTAATATTTCAACTGTGAACACTAGTTTTGGCGCTTATTGTGTTATGATGCCAGCTGGAGTGATGAGAAGATGCATTGCGGTTGTGTGGAGATATTGATTTATCCAGAGCCCTTCGGATTCCCCATATGACCCTATTCTAGCTCATAACATCGCTATGTGCTAGTCATAGAAAGCAGGGACATTCGGAGATTATTGCTAGTCATAGCAGTTTAGAGACCTGCCTGCCTTTATCGGTCTCAGTATATGTCAACCGTGAGCCTTGTTACTCACCAGGAAAGGTCGTCAGGTCACGCTGGTCGCGGTATCGCTTGCCACGCCCACCAGCGCACCTATACTACGATTGTTTCGTCGCATACTCCCTCGCGACAGCTTTACGGGGCAGACTCGTTTTCGACGTTGAAGGTTTTTAAAAGTCACACATACAAATGAGGGTTCTCGATTGTTTCTAGTCTGATAGGATTTGGCAAGTGCTATTTTAGCTTGATGTGTGCCTGGAAAAGTTGTGGGACCAATGGTCTGCTAATGATTCCTTGATGGCTGAGTTGAAAAGAGTCAAGGAGCTGCACGGCATCCGGATACTCAGTCAGGATCCCTTGGAAACACTTTTAGCATTCATTTGCTCGGCAAACAATAACATTCCGAGGATATCTAGTAAGTCGCCTTACCACATGTGATAATGTACTGATGATTTACGGTTAATCAGTCGCCAACATTCCAGGTATGGTCAACAAGCTGGCACAACTATACGGTGACCCAATTGTTCTCGATCCGCTCAATGATGGCGCCAAAGTCATTGATCGTTTCCCAGAACTGGGTTATGCTTTTCCTAGCTTGTCGCAGCTAAACGCAGTGCAGAGCGAATTGGAAAAGGTTCTTCGGGAGCAGCTCTTCGGATATAGGGCTAAAAGTATCGGGTAAGCCCCCCGTGCAGATTTTATATAGAGAAACAGTTTCTCAGATCCTAAGAGCTTTCAGCGAAACGGTGAAGCAACTTGGGTCGATGTCCTGTACGTGTCTCACAGATGTTCGGCATCTGCAGACCGACGAAATTCGGGTTTTTCTCATGAACTTTGCTGGAGTTGGTCCTAAAGTAAGCTTTCTAGGCTGTTGAGGTTCTACGGAAACTTTAACCTGATTCAATAGATTATTTCTGTGACACATCTAAGCCTTTTGCCTTTGCGCCAGAAAGTTCACCATTTCCTGCTGTTTGCATTGTAACCGTGCTCTATCGATTTGAATTATTTCACAAAAACAGTTGTAGGTCGCCGAATGCGTGGCTCTGATGTCTTTTGGACAGAATCAGTGTGTTCCGATCGATCGACACGTCTTTGAAGTAAGTTACTGACAGCATCCTAACCGGTTACATCTCCATGAATTAATTGTCTACCTTCCAGATTACAAAGAAGTACTACATGCCATCTTTAAAAGACTCGAATCTGACGAACGCTTTGAGTCGTAAGCTGAGTGAGTTTTCAAACAGGTCATGCAACCTTCCCGATCACTCCACTTTTTTATGTCGTGGTTGCCCCTAATGTGTAGTTTTTGCTGAGTTTTTCGGTTTTTTTCAATTACAACTCATCCAGTTTCAAGGTAAAATCCTCTTCTCTTTTCTCCCTTTTCCTGTGGTTGTCTTGGTTCAGTGAGAGGATGGGTATTGTAGCCCAAATGCACCAGAACATTCGGCACAACCTCATATCCCTAAAGTACCGTCTTCGAGCAAAGAAATGCTCTCATACTATCATAAGAATGAGGGTGAATTCCTCGTCGTAGCCTTTCATGTAGCTCTGCCCTATGGGGTAGCGTATTTAGAACAAGGAACCTTAGCTGACCTAAAATATTATCTTGAGCGTCGACTAGTTTCGGTTCTGATATGTACACCAGTAATCATTAGGCAGCCTCTTCAGGCCCAAATAAAAATACTGTGCCTGGCGTATACGGGCCTTCATGGTCGCTGACGGATGACTTTCTTGCATGAATCTGAAATTCTTACGATAGACGACCTTCCCGTTCTCAGCTGATTACAAGCGTTGTTTTTTCAACTACTATAATTATTTCAGTGAAATTCTATGGAGACAAGTTCGGAACCTATGCTGGTTGGGCTCAAGCGGTGCTGTTCAATGAGCAGTTGGAGAAATTCGTTGGCGCGCCACGGAAGGAAAGTAACAATAAGTTGAAAGCCACTTATAATGGCAAGATTGCTCGAATGTATTAGGTTGGCGGGAAAGTCCTTGCCAGTTTTTGGACAGTTCGTGGATGCCATCGCTTAACAATGCACGCCGGCGCGACGCAAAGTTGGACATCATCTCAACTTTGACTTGGGCTCAAGTCGTGGAGGTTTTCTCGACTAGCAGTCAGAAAGAGCAATGTCTGGACTACACCGGTGCAAGGGGAGAGCCATCCAGCTCTATTGCATGAAGTACGGCTCGAACTTTTTTTGACGGGGTGTGCTGCACCAGCACGTTGAAGACGGACTGTGCCGATGGATTTTGCCCTCTGCTTGACGATTCGCTTCAGATCTCGTAGCTGCCTTGCGCGTACGGATTGAACGAGGAGGCAGCTTATTTATCCAGTAGTTTCCCGACCCACCGCTATCTAGAACTGAGTTTATAGGTACTCCCGAACTTCACTTTGTTCATTCGAGCTGTAGCTCGTACGCGCCCTGAAGAGCGTAGCGTCAGATAAAAAAAGATTGTCTGATGACTGTAGACATTGTCCTTGTGCAGCTCCATTATTTCGGCGTCGACAGCTGCCATGCTGGCGCCAGGGTGGTAGAAGAATAGTTTAAGGAAAGCGCTTGAAGGGGTCGGTGCTGAAGGTAGCGGATAACATTCTTGTCCATAATGCAGAATAAGCATGAGCAGGAGCCGAGCCAGTGACACTAATAGAAAGATCATCCTTATGTATTATGCTCACATTACCGGTTAGCCCTCTTCAGGTAATAGGCGAATACTTGGGTTCAAAAAAGTATGACAGAACTTTCCCGCCAATCTAATATCTGTATTGCAAAGATATTGTAATATTTGGCACTACTACTATTACTATTTTTTTTTTATTTTAGTTTTTTTTTATTTTTTACTATTACTATTACAACATTACAATACACATATATAATACAATATGTAATAATATACAATTAATACAACTATTACCACCCCAGATTTCCAGAAACGGGCCGGAATTTGATCGAATTTTTCTACGGGTTTGGATTTGGCTGAAAGTTGGGTTCTAGGGGTAGTTTGACCTCCTAATCCGAATACAGCAGTCCCGCCTGAAACCGCTCGCGTCCGCGTTTAGCGGGCGCGGCGCCAAAATGGCGCCAAAATGCCCCAAATCACTGGCGCCTGTGGCGCGGGCGCCAGGCGGTTTCGGGAGGAGCGGATGTGATATTCGTGTTCAGGAGGTCGAATTACCCCTAGAACCCAACTTTCAGCCAAATCCACCCCCGTAGAAAAAAGTCGATCAAGATCCGGCCTGTTTTCGCAAAACTGGGGTAGTAATAGTTGAATAGTGCCTAATATTTCAGAACGAGGCTGCCTTGATGTAACGGAGTGCGCAGCGTTTTTTCCCAAATAGTCACTTACTGAGAGGCCCTACAAGCACCTTTACGGCAACGCTCATTGGCTAACTGGCAGCTTCACGGCGGCTAATGCCGTTTGGACTCCAGCAATTTCGGCACCGAGCTCATTTTTAAATTGCCTAAGTCACCAAACCCGCTGAAAACAATGGTTATTTACCATCGTGATTACAATTACGACACTCTCAGCCTTAGTGGAGCGCAGATTATCGTTGTGTCATCCATTAGCGCCAGCGGCAAGAGTGAATGTCGCAGTAATCAGGATGTTAAACTACCCCTAATACAAGTTTTTAGCGGATTTGGTGACTTAGGCAATTTAAAAATGAGCTCGGTGCCGAAATTGCTGGAGTCCAAACGGCATTAGCCCTTCGCAGCACGTCCTGTCGTTTCAGAATTTGACCCACCCCCTCCCCTCAAAAGTTCCTTCTCTGGTATGCCTCCGTCTCCCATATCCTATCTACCATCTTCCTGAACTCATCTCATGTTCTACCATCGCTCTGGAGGAATTCTACAGCTTTTTCCTTCAAAAACTATCGTCGAGGTTGAGGATATATATATTTAACGCCAGTGGGACGGGAAAAAGCAAGAAATTCAACTATCAAAAACATTTTTCTCAGAGGCAACTGCGACCTCCCCTCTCGCTGAGGATTCCCAACGTACGATGTGCAGTGGCTGGCATTCCGTAGCGTTACAGCACTAGTGCCACCTAGTGCCATGTCTGCCTCAAGGACACATGGTACGATCACACATAGTTTGGGTGTGCGTGACTATCAGCCCCCAGCTGTCGAAGCGTAGCGGTTTCCCGTCCTAACATGCGCAGGAATGGAGATACAGAACCACGCTAATTCCTCCAATAATTTTTGCGGCGCAGACCAAGGCACGCCATCGTTGTGATCATCACAACAGGGGGTCGTATTTGACCTCGGGGGGGGTCGTAAGCGCGGGGACCTTTCTGAAGTGAGGGTGCAGCGATACCCAGATGTCGTTCAGCTTCAATGATGAAAGACTTATCCATGTGAAGAACCCCTGAAGAGACCCACACAAGACAGAAGCACCTGCCAGCTCTACATTGTTGTTTCTTCATTTCTAGCCTTTGTCATCTTCATCACCTTCTATTCGGACTTTGCAAGCATGAGCAACACCTCAAATGTTATTCGCATCAGGAAATTGCGTTTTGCTTGTATTAAACTAACGAGTGGGCTTAGGCCGTTTTTATTTTCATGTTTTGTGGGAATGCGCGGCCTCTGAGGGATATTGCAGAAGCAGCATTGCTCTTGAGTTCTGGCCCTCGTCATCATCTTCGGTTCTTATTTTGCAGCACCTAAAATGTTATCCGCATCAGGAAATTGCGTTTTACTTGTATTCCAAAGCGCAATTACAGGACTTGGCAAAGTGCCAAGAGAGCTGCACGC